TTTTTGAGCAGGAATCACTGCTGAGTTTGGACTTGGTGACAGCACATTGATTGATTTATTACTGGCATTGGCATCCACTTTTCACTTCTGCAACTTCTCATTTCAGGGCTTCTTCAGTAAACGTCTGAAAGGGTCCATCAAGAGGACGAAGAGTCAGTCAAAGCTGGACAGGAACACAAGCTTCCGTCTCCCATCTCTCCGCAATGCCGATGACAGGTAAGGTTCAGTGTGTCTCCCAAAACAACCTCTCCTCATCCAAAGGCACTTTGCAAAATCTACATGCAGCATGCGTCTGCACCTGCAGAACTCGAGAAGAGAAGGTTTGGGTTTTTTTTTAAACTGGCAGATGGGCAGATTTTGGGGCTGACTCTGTGCTAGGAGTTATTTGGTATACACTGTACTGCTGACAGAGGACTGGAAACTTTTACTCTCTTAATAGCTGATGAATAGTTCCTGTTAAGCACATGGATGCAAATACCATTTTCTGCATGTGTTTCAAGGAAGCTGCAGACTTTAAATTTCATGATGCAAAACAGTCTTGCCTTGGTGCATGCAGTGTTTGCCTGCAGGTGGTGGCGGTGGCACGGGGCGGTGCAGAGGGGTTCAGCCAGAGCTGGCAGAGCCCAGAGGTGTGCGGCGTGGTGCGGGTGCATCCTCCTCACCCTTGCTTGTGGCAGTTGGTTCTAGAGTTACTGCAGTGTTACTGTGGTCAACAGACTGTCTGTTTCTCACAGAAGTGGAAAACTTGGTGACTTCTGACCATCTTGATGCTCAATTTGGTATATTCTTGCTTGTTTAGTTTTGGGCTGGCAATTCAGGCTGGGAATGAATTGTATATGAGGGAAGCAAAAGCTCTCGCATTTTTTCCTAACCATTTGCAGAGTCTCTTGATTGTTTTTATTAAACATTAGTCTGTGTTATGTTCCACAGTAGCCCAGCAGGAGGACTAAATTGAGTGAAAAATAGGTTGCCCTCTACTTAAGGCCACGGCAGGCTTCTGTGATTTTACAGTGTTTAGTACATTTTCCCCTTCTCTTTTAGCTGGGTTGAATTCATTAGTTGTGTCGGTCATGCTGTGCTGCCTCAATCAACAGTGCTGTCTTCTCCCTCTGAAAGGCAGCACCGTAAAATCATGGGGAACACAAGGCTTCAGGTGTTAGAGGTCTGGTTAACTTCACAAGTTACAAAAAAAACTGCTGCTGCTTACTAAACGTGCCTAATGACAGTGATGATGTTGCTCCTATAGTCATACTAATGTCCACCCAGATTGTTTTGAGTTTTATTATAAATCGCTATTTTGAGGCAGTTGCAACGTGGCTATAAAAAGCGACTCAGAGAGCTTAAGCGTGTTAAAGACTGCTGCCATGTGATTAAGTACCTGTTATTTTTACCGTTGTTTGTAACCAGCTTTGCTTCAACTTTCATGTTGCAAAATTCTCTTTGCCGCAAATAATATATTTAACTTTCCCTAGCTTGGTACTCGTGCTGAATGTGGACTGATGATACTTCCTTTTGCAGTGTAAGGGAAATGCTGTCACTCTCAGAAAGCCAGTAAATTTAGCTGTAATTAATCCCTACAACTTTGGTTTAAGACACGATATTATACACAGCAAAGCTACCTTCTCTTTAAAACCGGATCCCCCTCAACTCCCTGCCAGGGTGGGCAGGAATTGTCAACTAGACTTGAATGAAATGTGGATTTTTCTTTGATAGCTTGGAAACCATAAAATCCATCACATGCAGTGTTGGCATAAAGCATAGCTGGTCTGTTCTGTCAGTGCTCTTAAGGCTCTTTGGCATGGATTTAAAAAGGAGGATCCAGGAGCAAATAAACTGAGAAGTTCCAGTGGCAGAGTCCACACAGAGGTTTGAGGGACAGAGCCCTGGATAGCCAGGCATATGCAGGATGTTAGACAGGGACAAGATGATGATTGCTCTTCGCTTTTCATCTGGTCACCCTCTTCCCTTGGCCTTCTAAACTAGCCTTAGAGCAATGCATCTTGCATCTGTAGAGCAGGAGATGGGACAGTTTATTTGGGGAGCTTTGGGACTTGATACAATGATTTGCTACTAATGGAACAAAGCATTTTTTTATACCAGTCTATGTTGTCTTTCTCCTTTCAGGGATACATGTGCCAAAGTGGGCCGAGGGCACAGTTTGGAGGCAAGGGAGATTAGCTGAGCTGTGGGGAAAGCAAGCGGAGATTAAGTTTGTTTGGAGATAAATCTTTGCACAAAAGAGTAGTGCTGTTCAAGAGCATGAGCCTTGCCTCAAGCTCTGTTTGCAGCCTCGTGCTGCAGGTGAGGGTCACAAATTGCTAAGTTCCTCTTGGAAGGAGAGCGTAACAGCGCTACTCAACCTTGTAGTTACCTTTTGTTAGAAAGATGGGAGGTTTAATGGAGCTCGCTTTGCATTTGTCATCTGACCAGGCAGTGCACTGATTGAATATACCAACTTTGAAAGTTTATGGTTAGAGCTTTTTCTAATGGTATTTTATAAATAAAACCATAAAGGAAATCGAGTTCCACTCTAAAGTAAAGCTTGCCAATAATTTCGCCCTTCCCTCCCATATGTTTCGCTCTGTATTTAAGGGTGCCTGAAAAAAGCAATTGATGGGTAGAACAGCAGGAAAAACAACTCCAGCTATGTGGAAATGAAGCACTGAAGATGAGGAACAGATGAGTATACTGGGAGGAGATGGGGTGGAGGAAAGAGGGGGCTAGAAAGTTTAATTTCTGTTTAGAATTATGTTGTTGTTTGGGATTTTTTCCAATGGGACGAATCAAACACAACTGTTTCTGCCTGAAAGAAGATAACACATAGCAACTGACTCTTAATTCATGAGAAAGAATTGCTGTTCTGTCACCTTCTGCTCTTCCTGCTTTCTGTGTGGGTCTCAATCTGTTGCAGTAAAAACTTTCCTGTCCTACCCAGGTGAGTCAGCTCTTCCCATTTTAAGCAGTTGATGCTTGGTGATGTCATGGTTGTACAGGTTTGCAGGGCCAGGTTGACTGATAGCATCTACCTTTTCTTGCAAATACAAGAGCCTGCCTTCAAAGGCAGTATTATAAGTTAAAACCATGCAAGGATTAGGGGAAATAGAGGATGCTGTCATGTTGCTCTCTCATGCTTTTGAGGTGTTTGGGTCTTGTTTGGAAACAGGAGATGTTTATAGATATATACCTATAACATTCCGGAGTAAGGAAGATTAGTTATCCTGGTGCACATCAAGATTTGGGATACTGTAACACTGCATCCTGTGCCAGATGGTGGCAGAGGATGGGTGCTGTCTGTTCAGAGTCGATCTAAAATAGAAAGGATTCAGGAATGCTGGAGGAAGGAGTGATGGAGATAAGTTGCAGATTTTTTCATAATCAGATTTTCTGTTTCAGTGCAAAGCAGTTGGTCAACCTACTTTTTTCTGGCATTTAGCTTATTATCTGTGACTGAGTTAGTGGATGGGGAGAGGGGAGAGCTGTGGTACCCCTCAGAAATGAGAGCCCACCATAGGTCAGCCTGCAGGTGCACTGTAGAAATCTACCGCCTCTCAGCCTGTAACTTGCACCACTCCTATTACTCCAGGTTTAGGTTTGCTGGGGGATCTGTTATACATGAAAACTCATGGTTTATGTTCACAAGGCACTAATATGAGAAGACTTAGGCTCTGCTGGGCTGTGACCCACACCAGGTGTGAATGAAGCTCTTCAGACGTGTGGCCAGTTGGGCATCTCACCAGCTTCTCAGCAGCTCTCACCATGAGGCTATCTGGCACCATGTTCCCCTGTCACCTTTCACAACTTTCCTGTCCTGTTTCCCACTGCATTCTTTGAGCTATTCAACCTACACATTTGTTTTGAACAATTTCTCAGTGTCAGTAGTACAGAAAACATGTAAAAAAGCATAAGAAAAGACTTGAAGAAAATTACATTTGAAAGGAGAGACCAAATTAATATTTCCAGTTTGCAGGCAGGAATTTGAGAATATTTCCAAGTGAACTGATAGTTCTCGCCTTTTTTTTTATGGTGAGGGAGTGAAGATGGTTGAGACTGGCTGCATATGGTCTCAGCAACAGCAATAAAGCTCTGCAGACAGCTGGGAGGGTTTTGCCCTGTTGGGATTTACTGCCACGTGGGAATCCTCCTGCTTTACTAAAAGTCATTTTATGGCATTATCAGATAGTCATAGCGGAGCGCAGGATCCGTTGTGTGCTTGCTGGGAATGGGCTCTGGCAGGTTGCAGGGAAGCAGGTAGCCATGGCTCTGGGCTTCATGGTGAAACGGTACCGCTGCGCCAACGACAGCTTCTTCTACTTTCGGTAAGTTCTCGCTCCTCCCTCCTGGTTTCTTTGCAGTATGGAAGCAGCACAGATCATATGAATCACAGAAGCAAATCTTGCCGTGTTTTGCGTATTCATTCGTTCTAATTTAATGCTGTTTTTTTAAAAAAGGTGGGTGATTTTTAGGCTGGTTTAGACAGTGAGGATAAAAATCTGTGTTACACAACATGTTATTAAGGCTTGACTCACTTGGAGCTTCTATTCATTCAGCATATCTATCTGCGTACTGGAGTGTGGGGAAAGGGGAGGAGTGGTTTGTCTCCGGAGAGACGCCTCACTCCTGGTTTACTGAACATATTTCTTTCAGACAGTTTTTTCTCAATCCTCATGCAGTTGTTTGTTTTTCAATGAAATTTGCAGAAGGGCTCAGTGTTGAGCATGTTGTCACAAACCTTCACCTTTACTCTAGGCTGCTCTGTCCCACCTGCAACTCACTTGAGCCCTTTATAAAAACATACTCATTAATGGCTGATGCTTTTCTACAAACGTGAGGCTCCTCCACGCAGCATTCACCTATACGTGGCTTAGCAGTGAAATGAAACTGAATTGGTTAAATATCTCTGGTCCAGCAAAACAAAAGAATTCAGAATGTTAATAGCAGAGACCACGGTTACAGTAGAGCGAGGAGCACAGTACCACTGTGAAATTCTGCAGCCCTGTGAGGTGTCTCTTAGACAAGCTGTGATCTGTAGAGAGAGCAGGCAGGCAGGGAAGGGCTTTGCAAATCCAAGATGCAAACAGTGAGGCTTTCGCTAGGGCCTTGCAAGAAAAGACCTGAATCTCAATGGAGGGCTAAAGCAATATGCTCAGAAAAAGCCAGCATTTAATTGCAGCTGAGTAGAACTTGCATCTAAATAAGTTCCCTTAAATTTCTGAATT